TACTGCAGTGATAGTTAAGGTGTTAATATGAAACAGGAATCATTTAGATTTAATCTGCCTGACAATGTTTCATCTATGTGTCCCTGTTTTCCCCCGACCCTGGTCTCGTCCCCCCTCTGCATGTATTAAGTAGGCTAAAGATCGACTTGTCATTGCATCACTTTCTGTGGCTTTTTTAATTACTGAATTTATAGAGAAAAGTTGTTTTTGGTTATTTCTCAGAATAACTTCTCTGCTTCCTTCTCACCTCCAAGCGGCTGCAGCTGCTGCTGCTCAACCCCCTGAAGGAGTTGTCCAATGTGTTACACGGAGACATTCGGCAGAAGCAGCTGGAGTGTGTCCTTCAGATCCTGCAGAGTCAGGGCGACAGCCTCGGGCCCGGCTGGCCTCTCGTATTGGGCGTCATTGGAGCAATTCGCAACGATCAAGGGTAAGAGCGTCCGACCCCTGGAGCGGTTATACTGCCTGCTAACGTTTTTATTCCGACAAACCTGTGACTGCCGTTCTTTTTCAGCGAATCGTTGATCCGAACCGCCTTCCAGTGCCTGCAGTTGGTCGTGACAGACTTCCTCCCCACAATGCCTTGCACGTGCCTCCAGATTGTGGTGGATGTAGCCGGCAGCTTCGGCCTTCAGAACCAGGAGCTCAACATCAGTCTTACCTCCATCGGCCTTCTGGTGAGCTCACTCTGCACATCATTGTTTCTACTTTCAGAGAGCAGAAAAAGCAGCTAAATCATCTTGTTCAACATATTCCTCTCCAGTTATCAATCCATTTTTTTTCAACCAACAGTGGAACATTTCTGACTACTTCTTCCAAAGAGGCGAGACCATCACCCTGGAGTTGGAGAGAGAGGAGGAGGCTCTACAGAAGCAGGCTCAGGAGAAAGGAGAAACCCTGAACAGGCCCTTCCACCCTGCTCCCCCCTTCGACTGCCTGTGGTTGTGCTTGTACGCTAAGCTTGGCGAGCTGTGCGTCGACCCACGGCCTGCCGTACGTAAAAGTGCAGGGCAGACATTGTTCTCCACCATCGCTGCCCACGGGACCCTTCTTCAACAGCCAACCTGGCATATCGTGGTCTGGAAGGTAGGATTTAACCTCTTTATGAGGTTCTTAGTCCGGTCAGAGGGAATGATCAATAGATCGTTATCTATACCTTAAACTAATACATTTGCAGTGATTTAATGAATTTAGATTTAATCAGAAAAAAAATTATAATTTTTGTTGCGATCACAGAGTCAGAGAGCGGCCATTTTTGCCCACATATAGCAACATCTCACTCCTACCATCTTCCAGCAGTGACGTCACGGTGCGGTCAACCTAGCGCCATTCTCTCCGCTTTACAAGCAAAATCAGTGGGAACTACTAGAAAAACCTGCAATCAACAATTATGTAAGGTTTAGAGAGGACTTCACCATTGAAATTCACCAGAGCTATAGTGAAACTGACAATGCCCACAGGCATGGCTGCAGGATGTTGGAATACATCGGGTAAAAGTGAAAAAAAAGAGTTATTCAACCTTTCTGATTCCTGATCCTCCACGGACGGGTTGATCGTTGGATCGCCAACTTGAAGAGGGAGGATTTGCCATCGAACTTCTGGCCAGAGAAAAAACCCGTAATATGTAGCCAACATTTGGAAGAAGAATGTTTTCAAGATGACTTGGATAATAGCGCGTTGTGACAAACACCAGATACAGCACTGGGACTTGATCAACAGCCGATACCGCACCGCAATTTGAATATGACTGGACTTTTCCTTTAAATGATTAAAGTAACTGATAGAGTATATAAATAATAGAGTCACTGTCCTAGCAGTGGACAGTGACTCT